GCTGAAGAATGGAAACCTGTTGTTGGACATAGATGAAAATCTTGATAGAGTCAATCAGGTAAGCTAATTCTCTGTTAGTTGTGAAAACAATTGTTCCTAGATCTTTCTCTAAATAGACATTGACTACTTAACGTAATGTGGTAGAAAAATATATTTTTTATACATTGCATCTAGCAACAGAAATTGAATTTTATGGTTTTTTATGTTACACCAAAGCACATACATCAGGAAATACAGGTAGGGAACTAACAAGATTCATTGTGAAAGATCATTGAGTTACAATCTACAGAATGTAATTCTAGTACAGTGTAATGCAGCCTATGGATTATCTGTATGGTCAGTTCTTAATGACTTGGCGAAGTAGATTTAAAAAGAATTCTAGGCCTCCAAGAATTTCATTTAGATTTGAATTCTGATCTTTCATCATGAAACAATGTTCTAATTTGGTCAGTGACCCATAATAAAGGTGTAAGTGTCTATGTAATAAAATATTGGATTGTATCCTATGATGGAGAAACATAAACATGTCTGCAACTGCTATCCTTTTTGGCAAAATCTAATAGAGAAGGTAGACCATTTAGAAGATATTAATTAAACTTTCAGTCGGATATCTTCAAGGGTTGACTGCAGTATTTTTGTTTAATTGTTTCCCTTGTGCTTCTTTTAAGACAGCTGCAAGAGCCTTCAAATTGTCCAGCAAAATTCATAGAGAAGTTGTGATGAAACAATATAAAAAGTGTCATATTCCAACTTATAAAATAAAATTTAAAAATTGTTTAAAATGTAAGCTCTTTTACAAACTTGTTGGCTGGCTCAATGGCAGAGTTAGCTTTTCCTGGAAATAATACACCATGTATTATAAGCACCATGTGCTTATATAGAAACTTAAAAAAAAAAAAAAGACTGAGAAATGTGTGTGCGTATTGTCACTATTCAGTACATAATACCCTGTGGTGTAAAAGAAAGTCATACAGAACAGTCTAAGAAGAATCTAAGGGTATCCCAGATGAAGATATGCAGATTGATCTACTCAGGACAAGACAAAATAGAGACAGACAAGTAGCAGAAAGAAAACACGAATAATTATTATGATTATGATTAATGAGAAGGCAATAAGGCAACAGAGGGGAACTGAAAAGAGCTACAGATCAGACACAGGTATGGGAAGGATCTATGCCGCAAGTCAGAGAAATGGGTAGTGAATTAAAGAAAAATAAGGCATAGATGTAAAACAAAAATAAGGAAACAAAAAAGGATCACACAACAAAGAAGCAAATCAAATTAAAAACCCCCAGATGAATAAATCTCTTCCTCTGTTCCTGTCCTTCTCGGTGATCCCACCTAAACTGCAGGATTGTGAGAGTAACACTTGTGTATTTGGGACAGTGATTACATTCATTGACCAGGTACTCTCATTAATATCACCCCTGTCTCCAGCTTAGTTTATATATGAAAGGATATCTGCAGGCTTTCTCTACAAAGCTATAAAGTCTGCGAATCTCCAAAGGCATTGAATCTCTTCAGAGTTGTTCAAAGGGACATTTTCTTAAAAAAAAAAAAAAATTACAATTTCATCTATTTGAAGATTCAGTTCAAAGGGGTGTTTTGGTCTTTGAATCAAGACTCTTTTTTCAAGTTTACATAGTCATATTTTATATAATATTAATAAGATATCCTTGCTTCTAAATACAACATATATATCTCATTCTTCAAATATTAATGGTCTTAAACAATTAAATTTAATGTTTGAAGGAATTATTGAACTTGGCTTACTTTAAACCAGGTTGGAAGTTGTGACCAATCTGCTTTCAAAGTACTGTACTGTCAACAATAACAGAGTTACCATCCAAGATTCTCTAATTCTGTAAACTCTCTATCTTCTCATTTGTTATACTGAAAAAAAAAAATTCTCATGCTTAAAAAGGGGATGATCAAGTAATGGGAAAAGAAGTAAACACAATGTATGTTTCTAAAATATGACATATAAGTTCACTCTTCTATCTACATAGAACTTATGGTGTTTACGGAGTGACACTTTAAGCTTTTAATACATAGACAAATGTTAGCATATTCAACTATATTGGCAGAACATTGGACTAGTAAGCCTATGCAAAACAGGGAAATTTTATATTAATTAGATTTTATTATACAGTCATATTCAGAAATATCCAAGATCTAAAATATGTTCATGTTTATGTATAGTTACAAGGGCAATGAAAAGTAAAGTTGTCCAGATGTGAATAGCTGAAAGCAGGAGTAGGCAATCTGATGCCTTTCTATTTCAGTACTTATCAGTCTCAGCCAACATTGCCAATAGGGACTTATGTGAGTTGTAGCCCGCAAACATCTGTAGTGTACCAAGTTGTCTATTCCTGGTTAGAGACAACACCTGTTCTCAAATATTTAAAATGCAGCAATGTGCTCCAAGGAAAGAACCTCTGCTCATTAATTCCCACATGCAACATGTCCCATGTGATGACTTCCCAACACAAATAGGGGCTAACTGCTGGGCTTATAGTTTGACTAGGATCACATATAGTCTTATGATCAAAGGATGTTTCTTCAACTGTCCAGTTCTCATTATTGCAGAAACCCCTTCGATATGCAATTTTTACAGGAATAGTTTCTGTTAAATTAAATTCAGATGGAAGCAGGCAATCTTTTAATTTACTTCAAATAAAATATGTACTTGCAAAGAAAATTATTAGCTTCTAAACAGACCATGTATTTATATTGTCAAGTTAATTTTCTTCAGTTTCATTAATTGCATGCTAGTGCAACTCATCAACTAGTTCATCAGTTTGTCATATCATCATGTTTTCTTTACATCATTCCATAAATGTCTAATAATTTACTGTGCAGTTACAATGATAATATAAATAGGTGTGCTACATTTGCAAATTCAGCTGAAGGCTGAGTTTGCTGAGCACTGACTATCATTCAGAACTCAAAAAACATATAACAAATTTCACCTTGCCAAATATGCTTGCCTTTACAAATCATTAAGTTCATATAATGGTGAGGATTATCTGAGTTTCAGTTTCAGACATACATTGCACAACCAGTCCTTTACCACTGAAGCCACAATTTTTATAATAACCTACTTGTAACCTGACTGTAAGAAGTATGCATGTACAGGGTGTTTTTATTCTTCTTAGAATAAAAATTTAATTAACCAAAGTCCTGCTTTATTATCAAAGCTCTCTTGAATTCTAAAAGCTGAAGAAGTATCTTCCCTTAACAACTGGGAAATCAATGTCTATGGCACATCCTTTTAAGGAGTAGAGTTTTTATGCCTGCTTGCTACACAGGAAATGAAACCTTTAAAATGAAGCATCTGGTATTTATATAAGGAAGGACTAGTTGTATTTTCAGTTTCTATGTGGAAAAGCTAGTACCTTTCCCTTCAAATTCAGAAAATACTGGCATTTTCCTGGATGGGGAGAAACCAGCTGCAACTCAACCCTAGCAAGCTGGAGTGGTTAT